ACCATGCCTGGCTAATAATTTTGTTTTATTTTTAGAGACAGAATCTCACTATGTTGCCCAGGCTGGTCTTGAACTCCTGGGCTCAGGCAACCCTCCTCCTTTGGCCTCCCAAAATGCCAAGATTACAGGCATGAGCCACTGCACCTGGCCATGTGTGTGTTTAAATGAACAATCTCCAAAGCATATTGTTAAGTAGGGGGAAAAGCAAAAAAATGTAGCTTCCTGCTTAAGGTTAAAAAATTTAAAACTCGTCTAGGTGCAGTGGCTCACACCTGTAATCCCAGCACTTTGGAAAGCCGAGGGAGAAAGATTGCTTGAGCCCAGGAGTTTGAGACTAACCTGGGCAACATAGCGAGACCCTGTCTCTATTAAAAATAAGTGAATTGACGGGCATGGTGGCTCACGCCTGTAATCTCAGCACTTTGGGAGGCTTACGCAGGTGGATCGCCTGAGGTCAGGAGTTCGAGACCAGCCTGGTCAACATGGCAAAACCATGGGATGGGAGGTTTTACTAAAACTACGAAAATTAGCTGGGTGTAGTGGCACACACCTGTAATCCCAGCTACCCGGGAGGCTGAGGCAGGAGAATCACTTGAACCCAGGAGGCAGAGGTTGCAGTGAGCCAAGATCACACCATTGCATTCCAGCCTGGGCGACAAGAGCGAAACTCCGTCTCCAAAAACAAATAAAAAAGAAACAAAAAATTTAAAACTATTAACTATGCATGTGACTTTGTACATAAACATTTAACACTCATCTACAGATAATAGTGGTTAACACACATTGAGCTCTTACTCTATGCCCAAGATACAGCGCTAAGCATTATACACAGATCTTTTTGAATCCTTTCAATGCCTTGAGGCAGGCATTTTTATCCCCATTTTGTCAATGAGGTAATAGGGAAATTAAGTGGCTTGCCCAGAATCACACAGCTAGGGAGGAGCTAGAGCTAGAATTCAAATCCAGGCAGACCACCTCCTAAGTAACCTCCTAGGAAATGCTCTTGAAGGGTACACCCACCGCCCAGCACAGTCAAGCGGGGAGCGCGTCTGAGTCAGGAGTGAGTGGGGATAACCTGTACCAGCTGGAACCTCCTTGCTCGCGTGGCACTGTGTGCCTTTCATGGCTTACTTGATTTGTTGCCCTTGACCAGCTGATGCCAGATGTTTTCAGGCTCTGAGCAGAGGAGGGCTGTGATCTGACTCGGGCAGCTGTAGAAGGAATGGACTGGGGACAGGGCAGGGGCAGGGAGACCTGGAGGAGGCTGCTGTCCAGGTGAGAGGTGATGGTGGGGGTGACCAGGTAGAGAGCGAGGTGGCCACTCATGACCTGCCAGTGTCACACTTACTGTCCCCAGTGCAGAAAGAGCTTTTCAAGTAGTGCACGCTGATGAGGTGGTCAGAGCCAAAATATGACTGTAAGCCACCGGTCTCCAGGGAAGAAGAATGATTTCTGGTCCATGCTGTCCCTCATTCCCAGCAGAGGGCACTGTGGGACAGTGTCAATGGGATATAAAGACACTGATCCTGTTGGTGCCTTAACTGAAACCCACAACCCCAGGGCCACCCAGATTGACAGGGCAAAGCCCCTGACACCATTGCTTTTCATGATCGGTTTCAACACTACCCTGCTTGTGATGAGAGAGATTTGTTTGTTTATTAATTACCGGGGCCAGAAGTGGGATCATTCTATTCCTTCCACACATACCTCTTGCCCAGGTGCTATTTGGCAAGGGTGGCAGGCTGTGTGCTTAGAGGCGAAGTCATGACATGTTTTTTTTGCCACCTCCTGTGTTTTTCGACTTAGGCAAGCATGTTTTTGCGGTTAATACTTATCCTTCTTAGTCTTGTTGTTGTTGTTGTTGTTGAGATGGAGTCTCACTCTGTCGCCCAGGCTGGAGTGCAGTGGCACAATCTCAACTCACTGCAACTCCCGCCTCCTGGATTCAAGTGATTCCCCTGCCTCAGCCTCCCAAGTAACTGGGATTACAGGCATAAGCCATCATGTCTGGCTAATTTATCTATTTTAGTAGAGATGGGGTTTCACCGCGTTGGCCAGGCTGGTCTCGAACTCCTGGCCTCAGGTGATCCGCCCGCCTCAACCTCCCAGAGTGCTGGGATTACAGGCATGAGCCACCAGACCTGGCCTCCTCTTTAGTCTTCAGACCACAGCCCCAAGTGTACTTTGGGTGCTTGTAACAAGCCCCCTGGGGAGGGATTTTTCTTGTGCATTCTTGGTGTGGTGCTGGTCCCGTGCGTGGCATGACCTGGTGGCCAGCAGCATGCTGTGGCTACAGGTACAAGCTGGTGTTAGTGAAGATGTGGAGCAGCAGGGGCTCAGACAGGGCTGGTGGGGTGTAAATTGGTACAACCACTTGGAAAACTATTTGGCAGTTCAGTAAAATTGAAGATTAGCATGCCTGGTGGTTTAGCAATTTCTGTCCTAGGTATAAAACCAAAAGAAAATGTGTTCATGTGCACTGAGGTGCTTCTGTGAGGGTTCCTAACAGCACTGTTCACAGTTGGCAAATACTGGAAGCAGTTCTGGTGCTTCTCAACGTGAAAGGGACCAAACCTATCAAAGTAAAACGTCAGCCTCTCGCAACAGCATGGCTGCATCTCACATATGTAGGATTCAGAGAAAGAAGCCAGATAACAAAAGAATACAAACTGCCTGGCTGGACGCAGTAGCTCACACCTGTAATCCCGGGACTCCAGGAGGCTGAGGCGGGAGGATCACTTGAGCCTAGGAGTTGCAGACCAGCCTGGGCAACATAGTGAGACTCTGTCTCTACAAAAGATATACAGAATTATCCAGGCATGGTGGCACATGCCTATAGTACCCGCTACTCAGGAAGCTGAGGCAGGGGGATCTTTTGCGCCCAGGAGGTCGAGGCTGCAGTGAACCGTGATTGTGCCACTCCATTCCGGCCTGGGCAACAGAGTGAGACCCTGTCTTCAAAAGAACAAAAGAATAAAAAAATACAAACTGCTTGAAGTTCAAAAATAGACAGAAATAAATGATAAATGATGGTGTTGAAAATCAGGATATAGTTACCTTTGGGGAAAAAGAAGGGGGTACAAAAGGGCTGTGGGTGCTGGAAATGCATTTCTTGATTTGGATAGTGATTACCCAGGTATTCACTTTGTGATAATTTATTTGGCCTCACACCTATGTTTCTTTGTGTTTTGTTTTTTTTTGAGATAGAGTTTGGCTCTTGTTGCCAGGCTGGAGTGCAATGGTGTGATCTCAGCTCACTGCAATCTCCACCTCCTGGGTTCAAGCGATTCTCCTGCCTCAGCCTCCCAAGTAAATGGGATTACAGGCATCTGCCACCACACCCTGCTAATATTTGTGTATTTAGTGGAGACGGGGTTACACCACATTGGTCAGGCTGGTCTCAAACTCCTGACCTCAGGTGATCCACCCGCCTTGGCCTCCCAAAGGGGGCTTTCCTTTTATTAGAGAGAAATCTGCACCAGAAGTCCTCACCAAGCACAATTCCCCTCACGTCTTATTGCCTGGAATTGGTCACATGGTTGTCTATAGGAAAACCTAGGAAAGCAACATCTGGGGAATGGGAATGAGATGGCTGTGACTGGCTTTGTCCAAAGGTTTTCATCCCTGGCTGCCTCAGAAGCACCTGAGATGGATTAAAAACATGCCATGTATACAAACATGCATGTCTGGCCCCATCCCAGACCATCCACATTAGTTTCACTGGTGGTGTTTTTCTTCCTTTTTTATTTATTTCTTGAGACTGCGTCTTGCTCTGTCACCCAGACTGGAGTACAGTGGTGCAATCTTGGCTCCCTGCAACCTCTGCCTGCTGGGTTCAAGTGATTCTCCTGCCTCAGCCTCCCAAGTAGCTGGGATTACAGGCACGTGCCACCATGCCTGGCTAATTTTTGTATTTTTTAGTAGAGATGGGGTTTCACCATGTTGGCCAGGGTGGTCTCAAACTCCTGACCTCAAGTGATCTGCCCACCTTGGCCTCCCAAAGTGCTGGGATTATAGGTGTGAGCCACTGCACCTGACTCTTTTTTTCTTTTCTTTTCTTTTCTTTTTTTTTTGAGACGGAGTCTCACTCTGTTGCTCAGGCGGGAGTGCAGTGGTGTGATCTCGGCTCACTGCAACCTCTGCCTCCCAGGTTCACGCCATTCTCCTGCTTCAGCCTTCCGAGTAGCTGGGACTACAGGCACCGGCCACCATGCCCGGCTAATTTTTTATATTTTTAGTAGAGATGGGGTTTCACCTTGTTAGCCAGGATGGTCTCGATCTCCTGACCTCGTGATCTGCCCGCCTCGGCCTCCCAAAGTGCTGGGATTACAGGCGAGAGCCACTGCGCCCAGCCTTTTTTTTTTTTTTTTTTTTTTTTATTTTTATTTAATGAAACTGGTTGGAAACCAGTGCCACAGTTCAAGATCCAAGGTGGTGCCAGTATTCAAGGCAGGCGGGTGTTTTACATAAGCATTTACAGGAATGTGTACGTAATACAGTATTACTGTAATAAGGACAAGAGCCCACATCCTCTTTGGTAGGACCTGTTTTCTTCATTATACTCCCTACTGCCTTACATAATACTTCTCTCCGATTCCAGTGTCAGCTCCACAAGGACAAGGGTCTTTGTTCATTGCACCTAGAATAGGACTCAGTGTCTCAGAGGGGGCACTCAGCCAATATATGGTGAACAGATGAAGTTAGTTTACATTATTGTCTCATTTAATTCTCCCAACACCCCTTCAAGGTTACAATACCATTCTGTACCCATTTCACAAAAGAGCAAGCTGAGGCTCAGAGATACGAAGTCACTTGGTCAAGACCACACAGCCAGGCGGCAACAGGTTCAAGTTCTGGCTCAGACCTAGGACTTTCTGACCTTAGAGCACAAACTTCCAATCATCACACATGTCTCTTTCAAAACAAGATGTCTCTCGTATGCTGTCATCCCTTTCTAGGTCCCAAGAACCCCCTAACCTTCCTTTCTCTCCCTTGAGTAGCTCATCACCTTGCGGGGCTCCATCCTGGAAGATGCCACGCCCACAGCCACCAAGCATGGGACCGGGCGGGGCTTGCCCTTGAAGGATGCCCTGGAGTACGTCATCCCCGAGCTCAACATCCACTGCCTGCGGCTGGCCCTCAACACCCCCAAGGTGACGGAGCAACTGCTGAAGCTCGATGAGCAAGGGGTGAGTCAGGGGCTGGAGGTCAGGGCGCTGCAGGGGCAGTAGCTTGCAACCCCACTCCTGGTACCTTTTTCTATCTTGGTCACATCTTTTTTTCTTTGCAAGTAACAGAAACCTACTTAAGCTGGTTTCAGCAAAAGGAGGGATTCGAATCAAATTCTAGTGGTGCCAAAAGCAGGAATGTAACTGGGTCTCCTAAAGGAGGGAGATCGTCTGGGGGTGAGATCGCTGCTAGGTCCCCATGTGTGCATGCATATATGTGTCTGTGGTGGGGGGTTAGCATCTTTCCTCCCCGCTCCACACGCGGGCTCCCTCTGCTTCTCTCGCCTCTCCCACAGCTCCCAGTCTGTTAGAATTCCAGCCACAGGCAGACCCCAGCAAGCTGACCCTGGTCACAGGAGAGCCATCAATTGGGCTATGTGTAGGTCAGGTGGCTGACCGTGGCCCAGTCACCAGTGACCAGGGGAATCCGAGATACCTAAAGCAAACATGGTTGTTGGGAGCCCACTCCCTAAAAAAAGCTATTGACTATAAGCCTTGAGCCCTCCAGATTTTGCTTTTGCAGAATCTCAGCCCATCCCAGTCCACCTACTGTGGGAAGCATTCCACCTACTGTGGGAAGCCGGCCAAGGCAACAGTCTCTTTCATGCAAGCGTGGCATCACCAGCCATCCTCCACCCGCCATAGCGAGAAGAGGCAGCCTGGACACCTCGCTGTGCTTCTGTGGGGGGGGGGGAGGGAAAGGGACAACTGGGACATGCCGCCATGCCCCAACACTGTTTTCCTCCCTGTCTGGCTGTGGCTCTGGGTTCTCAAGTGGTCCCAGCAGCTCCCAGGGCTGAAGGCCTCAGACATACCCCTTGCTCCCTTCCCTCTGCCATCTCTGCCTGGCCTGCCTCCACAAAGCCACTCTTGCCTCTGCAGCTCTGCCGGAAGCACAAGGTGGGCATCCTCTATTGCAAGGCCGGCCAGAGCTCCGAGGAGGAGATGTACAACAACGAGGAGGCTGGCCCCGCCTTCGAGGAGTTCCTCTCCCTCATCGGCGAGAAGGTCTGCCTGAAAGGCTTCACCAAGTACGCTGCCCAGCTGGACGTCAAGAGTAAGTGGGGGGCCAGTTAGATCACAGTGAGCCACCACTGCACGCCCACTCAACGGGCAAAGCTTAAAAGGTCTGGGGATGCCAGGGTGGGGACGTGGAGCAGTGGAGCTGTGAATTTTCAGACTTGTAGGAGCACAAATAAGTGCAGCCATTTTATTTTTTCTTTTTTCCTTTTTTTTTTTTTCTTTTTTGTTGTTGTTGTTGTTGTTGTTTTTGAGACAGAATCTCACTCTGTGGCCCAGGCTGGAGTGCAGAGGTGTGATCTCATCTCACTGCAACCTCCACCTCCCAGGTTCAAACAATATTCTCCTGCCTCAGCCTCCTGAGTAGCTGTGACTACAGGTGTGCACCACCACACTTGGGTAATTTTTGTATTTTTAGTAGAGATGGGGTTTCACCATATTGGCCAGACTGGTCTCGAACTCCTGACCTCAAGTGGTCCACCCACCTCAGCCTCCCAAAGTGTTGGGATTATAGGCGTGAGCCACCGCGCCTGGCCATGTGCAGCCAGTTTGGAAAACGGTACAGCACATTCAAGTCCAGTTTGAAGAGACCCTGCTCTGTGACTCAGCTCCTGCACTCCTAGGTATGCACTCTGTCTAATGCACACGTGCACGGCAGGAGAGGACTGAATATCCCTAACCACCGGCACCTCGGTGCACCCAATGCACACTGGCAAGGTTGTGGTGTGTTCACCCAGCGGAGATGAACTGGCACTAAGGGCATCAGCGTGGAGGAGAGCTGCATGCTTCGTGCTGTGCAAAGACAGCAAACCTCAGAAGAGTGAGACCTGAATGATGCCTTTCACATAACTATATATATATATATATATATATTTTTTTTTTTTTTTTTTTTTTGGAGACAGAGTCTCCCTCTATTGCCCAGGCTGGAGTGCAGTGGCCCAATCTCAGCTCACTGCAACCTCTCCTCCTAGGTTCAAGGGATTATTCTGCCTCAGCCTCCCGAGTAGCTGGGACTACAGGCGTGTGCCACCATGCCCAGCTAGTTTTTGTATTTTTAGTAGAGATGGGGTTTCACCATATTGGCCAGGCTGGTCTCGAACTGCTGATCTCGTGATCTGCCTGCCTCAGCCTCCCAAAGTGCTGGGATTACAGGTGTGAGCCACCGTGCGGGCCAATTATCCTTTTTTATGGAGACAAGGTCTTGCTATGTTACCCAGACTGGTCTCAAACACAAGGCCTCCAGGGATTCTTGGCCTCCCAAAGTGCTGGAACTACACATATGAGCCAAAACTAGCAAACAAAAAACTGGCAAAAACCAGCAGGCTCAGCAGGATGACTCACACCTGTAATCCCAACACTTTTGGAGGCCAAGGCAGGATGATTGCTTGAGGCCAGGTATTCAAGACCAGCCTGGGCAATAAAGCAAGACCCTGTCTCTGGAAAAAAAAAAAAAAATCCACCAGCCATATATTGTTTGGGGATATGCTCTTATATAGTGGAACTCTAAAGAAAAACAGAGTCAAGCATGGTGGCTCATGCCACCAGGTTTGGGAGGCTGAGGCGGGAGGATTGCTTGAACCTGAGAGTTTGAGACTGCAGCGAGCTAAAATCATGCCACTACACTCCACCCTGGGCAACAGAGCAAGACCCCATCTCAAAAATAAATAAATAGGCTGGACGCGGTGGCTCACGCCTATAATCCCAACACTTTGGGAGGCTGAGGCAGGCAGATCATGAGGTCAGGAGCTCAAGACCAGCCTGGCCAATATAGTGAAACCCTGTCTCTACTAAAAAACACAAAAATTAGCCGGGTATGGT